TATGCAGGCACTGTGTAGCAACTCAGATCTCAGTGTTGTCCTACTGCCCCTTGTCTTCTAGCTGAGCAGCTCAGGCTTGGGGTGGACAAGAAGCAGTCGTGGTGTTTCACCTGCTCTCCTCCTGCTCTCATGCCAGGTATGAGTCTGGGGACCATGTGGCGGTGTACCCAGCCAACGACTCTTCTTTGGTGAATCAGATTGGTGAGATCCTGGGCATGGATCTGGACACAATCATGTCCCTAAACAATTTGGACGGTGAGTATGGATCACCCCTGAGCGTCAGCAGTTCTCCTTCAGCTATGGCCTCTGTTTTTCCCACTAGAGCAGGAGCCAGATGACCTTCAGGTCCTGTAGGGCACCTCCAGGCAAACAGAGACATCCTGTGGCTGCTTCAAATGCCGTGCCATTTTAGCAGTGGCACAGAGCCCGCTTACTGAGAGCCAGATGAAGTGGGTCAGTTGTGAAATGTACTTAGTGTGCCCATTCAACAGCAAATTATGTAACAGCACACTCCTAATTACAGAGCATCAACCTGCCAGAGCATCTCTCTGCCACAGCAGCCCTGGAGCTTAACAGGGGCCTTCATGTCCGCGATGCTGTTATTCAGTTCTTGGAGGAGGCACAGGCTTGGGGACTGAACTGCCAGGAGGGAGCACTTCTGCTGATAAAAAGAGCTCTTCTTGGGCAGTGTTCCCGGCAGAGCTGGCCTCTGGCAGGAGGGACATGGCAGCTGCTGCCCATCTTACTCCTGAAGCAGTGCAGCCTGACCTGAGGCATCAGATGTGCTGGCCCAGAAGCCTGACAGAGTTCCTGGTTTCAAGAGCGCAAGTGGCTTTAATGCACTGCCAGAGCCTGCGGCCCCCTGTGCAGTGTCCCATGTTGTCCGGCCTCGTGCTGTCATTCCTGTCCCTTACGGGCATCTTAATTTGCTGAACTGAATGTCTCCAGCCTTGACTGCTGGAGTTTACCTTTCCCAAGGGGGCTCTGAGCACAACTGTCCATGGCTGAAGGAGACTGAGGACACTTTTGAGGCCAGATCTGAAGGAGGTGTAAGTCTGTGAGGCCAAATTAGCTGTAGAGAACAGCCCTCCTGCTTGGTCTGGGAGTTTGCTGGGTGCCTCTGTGCATGGATATTATGGGACAGAGAACCCCATTGGGGAGTGTGAGGTATTTTTTTTGTTGATAAGTTGTCAGGCAGCATCTGTGAAATACAAAACGGGCTACTGGGAGACGTAGCTGCATGGAGAGGGAGCTGCCCTGTGCTGGAGCTGCTTCAGTGTGGGATCGGGGCTTTGGCCAACAGGCTGATTCAGCCCTAGGGCTGCTCTCTCCTCCCTGAAGCCTGTTCTCTTGCTCTGTCTCCAGCTCTCATACCCTACATGCAGCTGCTGGCACAAAATCTCTAACATGACAGCATGTGGTTGCTAATTTTTAATTATTTTTTTTTCTTTCCCTCTTCTCCAGAGGAATCCAATAAGAAACATCCCTTCCCCTGCCCCACATCCTACCGTACAGCCCTGACATACTACCTGGACATCACCAACCCACCCCGCACCAATGTCCTCTATGAGCTGGCCCAGTATGCCACGGATGCCGGCGAGCAGGAGCGCCTCCGCAAAATGGCATCATCTGCTGCCGAGGGGAAGGTGGGAGCTGTGGCCTTCCCAGCAAAGCTGCTGGGTTGAACTGGGTGCTGGGGGATCCCCAAAAGGGATCCAGGACCGTTGGGCACCACATGCAGAGAGCTGAGGGAGTGTTTGCCAGGCAGGGAAGCTGTCATGCGTGTGCCCTCCTTGCCCACAGGCTCTTTACCTCAGCTGGGTGGTGGAGGCCCGGAGGAACATCCTGGCCATCCTGCAGGACATGCCCTCGCTGCGCCCCCCCATCGACCACTTGTGTGAGCTCCTGCCCCGCCTGCAGGCCCGCTACTACTCCATCGCCTCCTCCTCCAAGGTGAGTGTGCTTCCAGCAGGGGCTGAGGCTGCTGGGAGACCATTTCAGCTCCACAATGCCATGGTCCCTGTCTCAGCTGGGGACCAGACGTGGGGAACTTGCCCTGGCGACACTTTCTGTGAGGGGGGCAGCTTTAGTTACCTCTGTGCATGAGAAGAGGGGGTTATCCCAACTTCCATAGGGTCTGCAGAGGGTCCCACACTACAGCCAGCTGCGCCCTGATATCACCGCCCTCCCTGCAGCCCTGTTTCTCCTCGCCCATAGGTCTTGCCATCAGGGCTTGGAAGCAAGGTGGCATTTTAGGGGTTGGTCGAAATTTACTCTTTACTTTGTGCCTGAAGCCCTGAGGTTGTTGGCAATACTGAGGAAAGCTCAGTGGTCCAGTGATGAGTTGGGCACCAGACAGAAGCCTCACAGGGTCACGCCTGGAGGTTTGGTCTGCCAGGGGAGGAATAGCTGTCCCAGCATTAATCTTAGGTTAAACTTCTCCCCATCCCTGAGCACAAGGGACTGAGCTGTGGGATTGCTGGGGCTCGCTCTCTGCCTGACGCTGATATCCCTTCCCTGCAGGTTCACCCCAACGCCATCCACATCTGTGCTGTGACAGTGGAGTACGAGACCAAGACGGGACGCCTGAACAAAGGGGTGGCCACCAACTGGCTCAAGAACAAGGTGCCTGACGAGAACGGGAGCAACTCCCTGGTGCCCATGTACGTCAGGAAGTCGCAGTTTCGCCTGCCCTTCAAACCCAGCACGCCCGTCATCATGATCGGACCAGGGACTGGCATAGCCCCCTTTATTGGCTTCATTCAGGAGCGGTCCTGGCTGAAGCAGCAAGGTGAGTGCCCAGAAACTTCCCTGGGGACTGGAGGTGCTGCAGGACAGCGCTCTGCGGGGCCATTTGGTGCCTCCAAGGTGCAGCTTGTGCTGCTCACATCGGTGACAGGCCTAGCAAAAAGCAGAGGTGGTGGAGCAGGGTGAACAGCAGCTAAGTGTTTTTGCCCAGCACGAGGATGCTTTGTCCTCCTCTTGGCCACAGAGGATGTTTGAGGGGACAGATAGACCTGAGCCAGTTGTCTGAGCTCTGCCACCACGTCTCTGAATAACCACAGTCAAGTCACTTAGGCTCATTTCTAAAGCATATGGGTACTTCTGGGAATCAGTCTTGAGCTTCCTCTTATGAACAGAAGCAGTCACACAGCTCTGCCTCCCCCAGGTTGGCAGGGCAAAGGGAGGTGGGGAGGCCAGGTTGGGGGCTGCAGGGAGCCAGCTGATGCGTGCTGTGTGACTCTGCAGGCAAAGAGGTGGGCGAGACGGTGCTTTACTACGGCTGCCGCCACGAGTGTGAGGATTACCTGTACCGCGAGGAGCTGACCCGCTTCCATCAGGAGGGAGTCCTCACCCAGCTCAACGTCGCCTTCTCCAGGGACCAGGCTGAGAAGGTACCGCTCTAGTTCCCCAGCTGCTTGCTCGTGCTGCCCACCATCGCTTCCAGCCATGGCAGTGGGGGAAGAAAAGGCCCTGAGGGCTGGAGATTCCCAGCCTGGAGCCTCACTGCTGGGGAAAGCCCATGGCAGTCACAGGAGCACCCAGCACCTCCACTGTCTTCGGAGCCACGAGCACGGGCTTGGCTTCTCCTCCCTCTCCATGGCCTGTGGCGTGGGGGCTCTGCTCCTCTTGCCTCACTCCCACCTTGTTTCCTGTCAGGTTTATGTTCAGCACTTACTGAAGAAGAACAAGGAAAACATCTGGAAGCTGGTTAATGAGGGGAACGCTCATATCTACGTGTGCGGGTAGGTCTGGTGGCAGGGAAGGGACTTTGGGAAAACATTGCTGTTCTCAGGAAAACGAGCGTGACTCAGTTTACCCACCTGTGCCATTACAAGCCCTGGGAGGGTTATGCTGTCCTTGTTCCAGGGGAGGGCAAGCGGCCAGGCAGGCGGGCTGGGGTGAGCGAACTGTCCGTGTTTGGGTGTTGAGAGGCGACCAGGGCTCTGTGGCTCTGATGTATTACTGCCTCACTCATGATCACCCTTGTTTCCAGCGACGCTCGCAACATGGCCCGGGACGTGCAGAACACCTTCTATGAGATCGTGGCTGAGTTTGGGAACATGAGCCAGCCCCAGGCTGTGGACTATGTAAAGAAACTGATGACGAAGGGCCGGTACTCTTTGGACGTCTGGAGTTAAGAGCGGGGCTGGCGGGGCTGGGGAGAGAACGGGTGCCCGGGTGTGGGCCTGTGGGAGGTGGAAAGTGCCTGCTCGCCCACTGCTGCTGTGGGTGACAGTGTCGTCCCTAGCCCACAGCTACCCCAATGTCACTCCCAACCCCTCCTGGGCCACAGCAGCCCCCCGGGGCAGGCTGTGTACCCTGGGGGGTGGAAGGGGTTGAGAGGGGCAGAGGGGTAGCTCAGGCTGTTGTCCAGGAGCTGCGGTGCCCCCGGCACCCCAGGGAGCACCTCATGGCACCAGCGTTTGCCTTGAGGTCAGGGACAAGGGACACAGCTAATGTGGGGCAGGAGGGGGGGATGGTGCCAGGGGAGCTCTGGGGTCCTTCCCTGAACACAAGGTGTTGCCTTATCCCCTGGGGCTGGAGACCACCCTGGCTTGCTGGTACGGGCAGCCTGGGGACAGCAGAGGGGTGGAGGAGCCAGCAGCCCCCTGCGCTGTGGGTTTGGCGTGAGGGCATGGCATGGGGCAGCCATCTGTCCTCGCCTCCCTCCCACCCTGTGACATCCTGGCAGGATGTGGGGCTGGCAGCTGGCTCTGGGCACAGAGCTGCCCCACATCACCAGGACCCTGCAGGCACCCTGTTCCTTTCCCCCGCTGCCCGCCTTTGCTCCAGCACGCAGCAGGGAGAGGATGGCCCCTCTCCCCTCTGGAAGAGACCCAGTCTTGGGGGGCTCTCAGTCCGCAGGGACCCTGCTTGCTCCCTGCAGCCGGCAGCTCCCCTGTGCCCAGCCCCTCCCTCATGGTGCATACGGTCATTTTTTAAATAGTTTTTATTTTAACATCTTTGTGATTTAATCATGGAAAAAACCCCAAAACTTTCAGGCTGTCCAATGACTGTAAATTATTTAAATACATTTGCCCTTGGAATAAAAATACTGTTTCTGTAGTTTGCTTCCTGCCCTCTCTCTAGTCAGCCAGAGGGAAGAGGGAGGCAGGAGGAGCAATGGGCTGCTAACCAGGAGGAAACCTGGGCAACAGGCAGCAACTCCTGGTTTAGGCTGCGCTGGAGCTGGGGCAGCCCCTGCCCTGGGGTGCTGAGCCCTGGCAGAGCAGTGAGGATGGTATCTGGTGGGGGTGGTGGATGGCTCTGGACTGAGGCACAGCTGTGCTAGACGTGCTGTTTGGTTCCCAACACTTCAGGTGTTCCCAGTGGTAGTACAGGGCTTCTCTTCCCCTAGTCTGCAGGGACACTGAAGTCCTGCTGGGCTCTGCTTGGCTCATTGGCTGGCCAAAGCTCTGGCCCCAGCCTGTGGCACGGGGCTGTGTGGGTCAGGGGGTGCCACGGGAGGGAGCTTGCAGCACTGCCCTCCTGTCCCCACTGCACCCTGCACCCCAGGCTGCTGTGGGGGGCACTTGGAGATGGCTTTTATTCCCTCCCCCTGACACATAGTGTCGGGCCCACTCAGAGGATGCAAGCTGTTCCGAGACCACCCTGGCAACCCGAGGCAGCACCTTCCCTTTATTTTTACGTGCGCATCCTCCAGAGATGTGAGACCAGGGTGCTGTTTGCACTGCTCCAGTGCGAAGCCTGGTTCAGACTTGTGGTGCTCCCACAGCTCCTCTGCCCTATGGCTTGAAGGTAAAGGAGGAACTGGGGTACGATACACCCTGGAAGGCAGTGCTTCTGCACAGCCTCCAGCTGCACTTGAAAGCAAAGAGGGCTGCCAGGGCAGCCAGGGAAGTGATTACTTGCAGCCGATGAGATGTGAGGGCCTTTTTAACATCTGCCTTCAACATGCAGGAGCTGCCCTGGCTGCAGGGCTGGGGAGAGAAGGGGGAGAGCTTTGGCCACCCAGGAGCTGTGGGAGGCAGCCATCAGCCCTGGACCCTGCCTTGTCCCAAGGGAGTTGATGCAAGCCAGGCACCCCGGGCTGCCCCCTGCCTGCAGTGGGGTGGGGAGTGCTAGCAGAGCTGGGCTTGACCCCAGAGAACCATCCCAGTAAATGTCTTCAGGGCAGAGGGGAGGGGAGCAGCTGCCCCAGGCACCCTGCTCTCCTGGAGGAGGAAGGCAGACGGGACAGGAGTTGCAGGATGCTCCTGACTCCAGGTGAGTGACTCGGGCACGGATCCAGCACCGCAGTGAACACGCGGTCTATTCACGAGCAGGCCCCAAGCTCTGTCCCACACCCAGGCTTCCAAGGAATGGGGCGAGACACCAGAGTCCGGACGGCATCGAGAAGATGGGGATGGGAGAAGGAGCTGGGGGGGAGAAACAGTCCTGACCCCCACGCTGCCCCCGCTTCAATTCCGCTTCGTGTCTTTGTTCTTGTTCTGAAACTTCTGGTGGACGACACGGAGGGTGGTGAAGAAGTTCCCCAGGAAGAGGATGAAGAAGGGGAGGCCGCACATGAGGACCTGCAGGAGCCGCAGAGGCACAAGTCAGCAGGAGGGAACCTGCCTGGGGCATCCCCCTCCCCAGCGCAACTGCCTGGGAGCCCCCTTACCTGCCACTCCTTGCATTCCGGGTGCTGGATCATGCGGAAGAGGGTCACAGCGTTGTAGAGCTGCCAGAACTGCAAGAGAGAGGAGATTTAGGGGAGTTTCTGCTTTGACCCCATGCTTGACCCCATGCTGATGTTTATCCAGCTGCTCCCTCTGGGCACAAACCCCACGCAGACCTCGCCTGAGGCCAGCCTGCCCCAGCACGCAGTGAAACCCTGTCCAGGCTTGGGGCCAGAGGACCCCAGCTGGGACATCTCCCCCTTTCTTGCTACCTTCTGGAGCCCAACAGCCAGAAGGAAGCCTCAGATCAGCCTACTGCTTTTGGCCATTGGCCTAAATGATCTGACCAAGAAAGAACTCAACCTTCAGCAGCAGCAGCTGCAGAAGGGTTTTCAAAGGGTTCTCGGAGCCAGCACTTTGGCTGTATTTTGCCCATCGCTTAAGCACTTGGCAGAACTACCAGCAGCCCTGTAGGTCCTCCCCAGCTCACTAGCCAAGTCATGGAGGTGGTGGGTGCTTTGGAGGAAAAGGCTCAGCATTTGTTGAAAGCATTTCCCTGCCCCTGGCATCTGTATCGCATGGCTGCAGCAGCCTGTGGGGACCTGTGTGATATCCAGGCTGCCCAGCGCAGCTGAGAATACAGCACGATCTGCTCCCACCTGAGGCTCTGGCCTCTTGCATGTCCCTGCAAGGATCGGTGCAGACTCACCTGCCCAAAGAAGAGGAAGGGAAGCAGGAACGTGAGGCCTCTCCACATCCAGGACTGGAAGCCCTCTGCAAAGGATGAAGGTTTGCGTGAAGACCTGAGAACACACTAGCTGGGGGACCGGACAGAGCCCAGCTCCTGAGGTTGCAGGCAGGGAGGTTTGGTGGCCACCCCGTGCCTGGCTGAGAAGGTCCTGCCAGGCTAACACAGCCTCACCATGGGCGCTTGTACTCGCAGGGAGGGCTGTGGCAGGGATTCCTAGTGCTAATCTAACGTGGGCCTCTGGAGGAAGCTGCTCTGGTAGAGCTGCCCTCGTCCGCAGCTGCCATCCCTCAGCCTGAGCACTCAGTGTCGCAGGGGCCGGGGAGGCGGCAGCCCACAAGTACGTGTCAGAGGGAGGCTTTCTCTCTGTGAAGCAGCTTCCTGGGGGAAGCTTGGATGCCAGGAGCCACATCCACTGCTACCTTGCATCCTGAGGGAGCCAGCTGTGGGCCAGCGACCCCAGGAGAGCAGGAGGAGGAGGGCGTCCAGCCTGTGGGACAGAGCATCTCCCCAGTGCTGCTGCCTCACAGCAGATGCTGCTCGTGGGGTTCTGGCTTATTTGTAGCTTTTACTGCCACTGATAAACTGCAGCTAAACTAACCTCAAACCAAAAATAACGGTCACCATTGCCTTAACAGAAACCACAGCTCCCAGTTAGCTGAGCACCTGTCTGGTGCTGGGAGGAAGGCTGCTAGCAGCCACGGGCCCTGCGGCAATGGCAGGTCCAGTTGGACTGGGACAACCAGTCAGGGAAGATCCCAGCTTACCCACAGTCAGATCCATGTTGTGCCTCTCGCCCAGCGCTCGCAGCCGATACAAGCACCCGCTCTGATAGTAGTACTGGAGGAACTGCACAAAACCTGCGAGGAGAGCGCGAATGTGATCAGCAGATGCCCAGGCATCGTCCCCTGGCCCCAGCATCAGCTCTAAGATGACTCTTCAAACACCATCTCAGTGCCAGGGCCGTGGAGGGCAGGACAGAGGCCAAGGGAAAACCCAGGTGAGCCAAGAGCTCTGAGCAGCTACAGCCAGGCCTCCACATGTTGCAGAGCTGGGCAGGCATGCTCGGCCTCTAAAGCCAGCCGTGGTCCCAGCACACGTGGCAGCACTTACTCTGGTACATGGAGAAGGAGAGGAACTGGTTCCTGAACATCTGGTACATGAGCCCGTCCGGCCTGCAGAGAGACGGTGCTGGCTGGGGGATGTGGGGCTGAAAGGGAAAGCAGCCAGCCCTGCCTACCCCACAGCCAGGGGTAAGGGCACCGCCGCCTCGCCCCGGCTCCCACCAAATCAGGGATTTGAGATAGCCCTTCCACAGGAATTGCAGTGCAGAGGATCGTGTTTCCCAGCCCAGGGACCCTGCCTGCCATGCAAAGGTGCTGACGGCTGCTTTTGTTTAGGGTGCCTGGGCCTGGAGAGGAACATGTGGCATTGACTGCTAGACCACAACATCCACAGAGCAGGACTACAGCCATGGCTTAGGGCAGTGAAGGCCCCTTTGTCTGAGCTGGCCGCAGCCCAAGTAGGCTGGGGTGTCTACAGCCAAAAGACAGGGGGACGCAGACTTACCATGTCAGCATGACACCTGAGAGGAAAGTGGAGACGTAGTGATGGAAAACCCACCAGCCTTTGATTCTGGAAGGCAGACACAGAGAAGGGGCGTCAGGTCTTAAGCACAAATCAAGACCCAAACACGCACCAGGAGAGGAGAGCCAACCCAGCGCCAGCCACCCTCCAGCTCCCAGGGCAAGGCGAGTAGCAGGGCTGGTTGCGAAATGGCCGTGTGTGGAGCAGGACCCAGTGCCTCCGGTCTAGGCAGCACCCAGGGGCCAGGGCTCTTCCCGCACCACCTCCGCACGGGGAGTTCCTCACGCCCGGTACAGCTCGTTACCAGGGTTTACTACACACCCTGAGTAGGAGGGAGCTGCTCCCTCGGGAAGCACAGAGCTACACAGCGGGTCCGAACTCCCCGGCCTTGCAAAGAAGGACCAACTCATTGCATGCCCCGCTCCCCGAGCTCAAGGGACTCACTTGGATCCATTGTTGATCAAGATGCTCTCCCGGATGGTGAGGGTGCAGTAGTACCACACCAGGAGGAAGTTAAAGACGGCATCTGTCACCCTGGTGGGGAACAAAGCGGGGTGTAAAGCCAGCAGCAGAGCCATTGCCTGTGTGTTGGGGGCACGGGCACTGAGACAGCCGTCACTGCAGGACGCCCAGCCACCCTACGGGCAGGGAGACCTGTTTCTCCACCACGGTCACAGTGAGACCGCAGCAGCCACAAAAGCCACCCCACCTCTAGGGCAGCTGCCAGATCCTTTGTCAGGATCTCTTCTTCAGCTCTGGACCTTTCGGGATGGGAGAGGACATGGGCCCTGGGAGGAAATCTCTGCCTGGCCCCTTACAGAGAGCATCCAAGCCAGACTCACCTGGAGTTGAGAAGGAACCGACAGGAGAAGGAGACAATGAGTAAGATGATGGTGAGGTAGAGCTTGAACTTCTCGTACTCATCTTTATATGCAAACCTGCAGGGAAGCACAGGGACAGGCTTGGAGCAAGGTGGCTGCTGAAAGTCTGTGTCCTCCCGTCCCATCTGCCTGGACAAAACTGTTGTTCTGTTGGGAACCTCTGGGACATGCTCAGGAAAAATCTCATCCCCTGGGTATTTCTGAGAGAAGAGCACACCAGGCTGCTTTCACACAGGTGAGACAGCTTCAAGACACCACCAGCCTGGCGGGTGGTGCAGAGGACTCTGGGGAAGCTGGACAGATTGGCCTCTGCTCAGGTCTTCAAGGGGAGGCCTGGGGGACTGAGAGGGGGACACAGGCTCCTGGCTGGGCACCTCTGCCATTAGTGTCCCAGCATAGAGGGGGCTCTCGTAGGCCAAAATCAGCTACTGGTGTTTCCCAGGGGAAGAGGAGGGGGCTCGCCAGTGGCTGCACAAGTCTGTCTCTCCTGGAAGTCTCTAACACAGGGGAAACCTGGACATGGCTTCAGTGAAGGATCCTATTTAGCTCATCAGAGCTAACGGTCCATCCCAGCCCCTTAGCAGGAGCGTAAGGAGGAGGTGAGGACTCAGCTGATTCTGTAAAAGGAAGCAGGGGACAGCCCGGGAAGGGAATCTGCACCAGGCAGGTCAGGCCAGCCATGTGTCTGCACATGCAGCAGCTCAGCCTAGGAGGAGGAGTTGTTTCCTGGCGACAAGGGGATCCCAAGCCAGGCAAAGCACAGGGCAGCAGCGACGAGAGGACCGTACTTGGCCTGCTTGCTGAGCAGCGTGACATTCACGTTCCCGAGCACCAGACTCAGGTACAACCTGGGGAGAGAGCAGAGGCGTTAGGACGGGGAGCTGGCAGCACTGCTGCGGAGGCGAGGCAGAGCCGTCCCCTCTCGTGCCACCGCTGACGCTGTGGGGCAGGGAACGAGCCCCCAGCTGTTTTCCACTCGGAGCTGCCAGGCAGCGTGACTGGCACAAATGCTCTGGCATCTCCTCCCAAGGGCAGTGGGACGGGTGGCTGAGCACACACCCCACCTCCCGTGAGCACTGGGGTGTTTGCTGGGGCTCCCCGCTGTGCATGGCTGCCGTTCAAGGGCGGGTGAAGGGCCATGAGCAGGCAGAGGAGCGAGGGGGACGAGGGCAGCGCTGCAGAGGCTCAGCCTGGCTCCTGCCCAGGCATCCTCTGGGGAGCTCAAGCAGAGCAGCACAGCTGTGATGCTGCTGGGAGCAGGGTGACAGCAGGTTTGTGTGTTGCAGCGTTGCAGCTGCAGGGACGTGGAGGGAGGACTTGGTGTTTCACCGAGAGACGAGGCACCTCTTACCCGTTCTTCTTTGGCAGATAGGCCTCCATCTCGAAGAAAACGTTCTGCCTCTCTTTTATTAGGTTCTGGGTCTCTTGGATGGACTCCTCCTGTTCAGGACTCACGTGGGCTTTGCATCTGGGGAGGAAACACGATGCTGGCATCAGGACAGCCTCTGTAACACAATCAGCACGTGCTGGTACTCGATATGTGACTGTCTCAGACAAGGACACCCCAAGGACAGGGAAGATGGGCTGGAGGCAAGTCCACAACTCCATCTGCAGGGCAAGCTCCTCTGTCAGGCTGGGATGTTGCTCAAGAAAAGGAAGCAGGAACGAGGGCAAGGTGAGGCCAGACACAGACGGGTCTTCTCACCCTCGAGGAAAGATGGAGAGAGCTTTGTGCAGGAGGGGGGCAGTTCAAGTTACCTGCAAAGCCCTTGCAAGCTCTGAACTGCAAACAAGGCACAAACCAGAGCAGAGGAAAAGGAAGCTGAGGAAGACCTGCCTAGGTGAGTCCAGACCTCCACAGTGCTTTGCTATTAGTGAGGCTGCAGTAATGTTTGTATTGGAGACAGAGCCGTGAGACGAGTTCAATAGCCCCATCCTTGCTGCTTTCCCCTCCTGCCCCGCACCATCACAGGACACCAACTCACTTTTTGAGGGACAATGACAGCTCTTTCAGCCGCTTCTTCTGCCGTGCGATGGAGCTCGAGATCCCATCCTGGAGTTTCGTTAGCTCCTCGAGTTTCTGCTTGTACAGCTTGTGATTATCCTGAGGAGATACCGGCATACGTTACAGCTGCCTGCCCAGCCATCCCTGTCCTTGGGTCCCCTGTGGGGCATCTGTTGATGCATTTGTGAAAAACCGTCTTTAACTTCACCTGTGCAGCAGCTGGGTAAGACAAGAGGTGGGCAGAAACTGCAGGCAGAAAGCCAGGTGTGTTTGGGGACAGCCTGCAGCCATCCCTGCTTCGGTGGAGGCAGAAGCAGCTGCTGAGGACACCCATCCCCAATCCCAAGGAAGTTATCTGCAGGTGCAGACACATCCACACGGCACAGCCTGGTCCTGCCCTCGCACGTGGCTTGCGTCCGCCCCCCCTCCAGCTGCGGGCTTTGAAAGTCCAGCCAGCAACGTGATCCCACTCCGGGGATGCTCCCGTGGCTGGGAAACCATTGACTGCAGCACAGGGGATAGGAAAGACTCGGAAAAAAGGCTGCTGGGGCCAGAGCTACAACTGAGGGCCACAGCCACCCGGGAGCAGTGGCTTTGACTGCAGGGACAGGATGAGCAGCACTCTCTGCTTGGAGGTTCATGCAGCACCTGCTGCTGCCCCAACTCGTGGCTCTGGGGCTCCATCCTGAGCACCCCAGGGAAGCTGGAAGGAGCCCATCAATGAGCTGGACAAAGGGGACAGACTTGCAGCAGGGCTGCAGCCAACTGCCCGGTTCCTCGTGCGGCGGTAACCCAACCGCACCTGGGTAAGGCTAGATGCCACTCTTCTGCTATATTTAGAGAGGAAAGAAGAGGAGAGAGCATGCTGGATCAATGCTCCTTGTCCAGGTCAGCTGGAAAACAGCCTCACGTCGACCACAGGCAGCCTGAATGCCACCTCCATCAGGTGGAATTAAATGCTGCTCACAACAACCCTTGGACTAGACCTTGACGCACACACATTTTAGCCTCCATAGCTCTTATCGAGCACTTTATCAGCAGATCTCAAAGCTGTTCCCAAAGGAGAAAGGTGAAACCGAGACGCAGAGGAGGGAAACAACTCATTCTCCCTCTGGTGACAAACAGCAGAAGGGTGGGAATGGATCCCAGATAGCCCTGGCTCCCCCAGCAGTGATTTATGTCCCTGATCTCTCACGGGGCATGCCCTGCTTGACCATCAAGCTTTCCTGCTCCCATCTGGAGTCATCGCCTTCTATTGCTCTGGAGTTAACTGAGAGCGAGCAGCTTTTGTGACAACTCCTTTAGATGTGCGAGCGTCCGAGCACCACGCTTGGAGACAGCCTGGATCAGGAGCCCCTCCAGGAGAACGTTCCTAAAGGAAAGGGCCAGCACTGTGCAGCCGCACGCAGGGTTCAAAGCAGGCAACCTGGGACATCCACACAACCCCTATGGAGCAAGAGGAGGTTTCTCAAAGCCTCCCTTGCCCCAGATTTGGGCACAGCTGCAACGTGACCGCAACAACATCCGCTTTGCCCTGCTCCCAGGGGGGAAGGAGGGGGAAAGGGAACTGGTGCAGATGCAGCTGGTTGAGCTGAACCGCAGCAGAAGATGGTTAGCCAATCTTTTCCTTGGGTGACCCCTGCCTGAGCTGAAGCCTGCCCGCTCCTTCCCCTGGCAGCGAGCGCCCTGGGGATTACACAAAGCAGGTGGAAACATCTCCGATACCAGTCACCCTCCCAGCACAGAGTCCCTGGCCAGCCCTGGTGGGTGACGGGGCACCGGAGGGAGGGTGCCCGGGGTCGAGGGAGGCAGGCTCTCGGGACAAGGCACCTGGCTGTAGCGTGACCAGATTCCTGGCTGTCTCCGCTCTGCTGGCCGGCTCCGCTGTGAGGCTGGCTTTGGGCTTGCCGGAGCCGGGCTGAGAGGAGCGATAAGTAGTGTGAAACAGCATCTGCGTAGCTCATTCCCAGCCGTGCCATGCCAGGCAGTGCCGCTCCCCACTCCAAGCCTTTAAAAGCCCAGAGACCTCGTGTCTCCACGCCACGTCCATCGCAGGCTGGATAATTAGATTGCCCCAGCCCTGGAAAGCCCCGGTTCTTGCCAAACTCCCGTGTCCAGGCTCCTTGGCGGTGCCCCGGCACAGCCTGGCACCCCCTGCCCTGCTCCGAAACCCTTTTCCCAGAAACACAAGGGCTCCTTTATCAGTCGTGACCGAGGGCTGGGGCAGGGGAACAGCGGGAAAAGCGACCGGAATCCGAGCAGGGAGACCCCGCTTGCCCCCGGCACCCGTTAGGGATGCTGCCGGGGCACCCCCCCCCCCCCCCCGCCCCGCGGAGGAGCTTTCACCCCCGGTGACAGTAACCCCGGGGTGCCCCGGCTCCGCCGTCCCCGCCGCGGTGCTTGGGGGACGAGGCGAACCCTGATGCAACGGCGGAGCCGTCCCTCCGCCCTCGGCGCCGACCGGTGGTGGTTGCCCAACCGGTGGCTGAGGTCACCGGGCCCGGGACTCCCGGGGGAAGCTCCTCTCGGTCTCTGGGGGCCGGTAGCCGGCGGGGTGCGGCTGCCCGCGGGCACGGCGGCGGTACCTGGATGCGCTGGTAGCCGTCCTGCAGCTCCTCCCACTCTCGCAGGCACTCGGCGGCCGAGGTGCCGCAGGCCATGGCGGCGATGGCGGCGGGCGAGCGGCCCCG